CCTCTCAGGATCTTGGGCATACACGCACACAGGCCCGGCGTGAGTTTAAGCCACCACCGGGTCCAGGACTTGAACTGTGGTCGACCACATGGGAGTCCAGTGACATAGCCATTATGTTTACTGCTGGTTCTAGATTTATTTAACTTTATCATTATCATTATTTTTCTTTTTTAAAAAGAATTATTATTATTTTTTTTGAGAGGTTTTTCGCTATAGGGTGCATGCGCTTGCCAGACAGACAGAGACATAGAGACAGAAAGTGAGAAATCACCCCCCAGGGGGGCTGGTCACGCTGCAATCCCTTCTCCTCCATTCTCCTCTCGGGATCTTGGGCTCACACGCACACACACCCGGCGTGAGTTTTAAGCCACCGTGTCCGGGACGCAAACCGCAGTCGACTACGTGGAAGTCCAGCGACATAGCCATTACGCTAACTGCTGGTTCCAAAAAGAATTATTTTAACTTTATTTATTTTATTTATCTTTATTTATTTATTTTAATTTGACCAGAGGAGGGCAGAGAGAGAGAGAAAGACAAAGAGAGAGAAAGCAAGAAAGCAAGGTGCCAGGTCTGAGACTCAAATCACAGTCAGCCATGTGGGAGCCCAGCACCTTTAACCATGATGCCACTTGCCAGCCCACCCTGCCTTTTTTTAAAGAATTATTATATTTACATTATCATTAGTTTTCAATTTGACCAGAGAGAGACAGAAAGCGAGAAAGGGAAAATGAGATAGCAGGCTGTCAGGTTCAAGATTTGAACCACAGTCAGCCATGTGGGAGTCTAGCGCCTTAACCACCATGCCACCTGCTAGCCCTATATTCTTGAGTTCTAGTGGCATTGAAGGAGGAAGGGTCTCCCCGCATCATCCTTCCCCCACACATATTCAGTGTAGCTCAGCCCTAGAAATCGGAGCTTCTTTCCATAAATTCCAACAGATACCACAGCCCTCTGCCTCAGTACAGAAACTTTGCATGTTTCCTCCTCACTACCATGTTGCTCTTAAAACTTTTAGTAGAGGGCCAGCAGGGGGCATAGTGGTTAAGGTGCTGGACTCCCACGTGGTTGACCATGATTCAAGTCCTAGACCTGGTAGCTTGCTTTCTCACTTTCTCTCTCTCCTTCTCTCTGTCTCTCTCTGGTAAGTGCACATGCCCTATAGCAAATTTATTTTTATTTACTTATTTGGAGTGGTTTTTGCTATAGGGCGCCTGTGCTCGGCAGAAAGACAGAGAGAGACAGAAAGCGAGAAGCCACCCCCAGGGGGCATGGCCACGCTGCAATCCTTTCTCCTCCATTCTCCTCTCAGGATCTTGGGCACACACGCACATGCACCCAGTGTGAGTTTAAGCCACCGGATCTGGGACTCAAGCCATGGTCGACTCCATGGGAGTCCAGCGACATAGCCATTACACCAACTGCTGGTCCCTAGCAAATTTAATAATAACAACAACTTTAAAAAAATTTAGAAAACAACTTTTAGTAGAAGTACAGTTACACATTCTGGGACACAAAGTTATTTCAGTGATAATTTCCCACCGCAAGGAATGCTGAAATATAACAGGAAATGGAGAATATGAACAGGCAGGACTGGGCTAAATTTGAACGGTGGAAACTTTCTACCAAAATATTTTCCACCGAAGTTCACTTTCTTTAGTTTTGATGACTACCCACTGGATCTTTGTGGTCAGATGCCATTGACCAACCAGGAAATTGGAAAAAAAAAAAAAAAAAGAAATAAACTGTTTCACGCAGCTTTTTAGGAATATTTTGTTTATTTATTTATAGGAGCATACAAAAGCAGTACTCTGACCCAAACGAGGCAAATGGAAGAGTTTGGAGCACAGTATATTTAATTGTGGAAACTCTATGGTTATCATTTCTTAAGAATAGTAGAGAAAACTGGGCAGAGGAAGGAAAGGAAGGGAATGAACACTTAGGAAGCACCTACTCCACACCAACATTTTGCTGGGACCATGACACAGAGAATGCTATTTTCCTCTTGCGACCACCATAAGGTAAGTATTTCCTGCTCTCCGTCTTCCCTCCTACTCTTCTTTCGGAAGTTTATTTATGATGGGGCTTTTATGTGCATGTGCGCATGTGAAAAACAGGTAAACAGAGGCGGAGGCACCCTCTACAGAATCTTGTCACGCTGCAATCCCTTTCCCAGCCCTCCAGCTCCTCAGCGTCTTGAGCGCCTACCTGCCTATAATCCTGGTAGGTTCTAGGCATTGGAGAGCCCACCTAGGGTCACCCCATGGCTTCCAGCCTGCAGTTCAGCACAGTACTATGTGCCACCAAGGCTGGGCCCTCCCGTTGTAGGTCAGGAAACAGGTTCATTGAGGTTAGTTAACTTGCTCATGGTCACTCACTTGTCATGAGTAATGAGGCATCCGAATATGGATTCTTCATTTTCTTCTAGAAGAAAGCAGTATGCAGTCTTTTTTTTTTTTTTTTTTGCCATAGGGTACATGAGCTCACTGGGTGGGAGGCAGGGAGACAGTGAGAGGGAAAGTGCAAAATCAACCCCCCTCCAGGGGGGCTAACCATGACACAATCCCTTCTCCATTCTCCTCCTGTGATTTTTGGGCACACATGAACATGTGCCCCACGTGATTTTCAAGCTACCAGGTCTGGGACTTGAACCATGATTGGCCATGTGGGAGTCTAGCACATGGACTGGACATGCCACATGCTAGCCCTGTGGCATGTAGTTTTTATTTTATTTTTGAGAATGATTTATTAATTTTATTATTACTTTTTAATTTAACCAGAGAGAGATGAGGGGCAGGGTGGTGGTGGTGGTGAGAAATCAAGCCATGAGGACCAAGACCTGAACTGCAGTTGGCCATGTGGGAGTCCAGTGCCCCAACCAGCATGCCTTCCACTGGCCCCATGCAGTCTTTTTTTTTTTTTTAAGAATTGTTTAATTTAATTTTACTGTTATTATTTTATTATTTTTTAATTTGACCAGAGAGGGAGAGAGAAAGTGAGAAAGCAAGTCGCACGGTGCGGAACTCTAACCAGTCAGCCCTGTGGGAGTTCAGCCCCTTAACCACCACGCCACCTGCCAGCCAGCATGCAGTCTTAATAAGATAAGATCTCTGTTATGTCAAGGTGGCATGGTTGTTAAATATTCGATAAGAAAAACCTATATGTCTTTAGAACACTCATTTCTAGTCATATTTGTGCTATTAAGTTGAAAAAATTTTCCTTATTCATGATAGAGCACATGTGCATACACTACAGAGAGAGAAAGTGCACCCCAATGGGGACTTGGTCACACTGCACTCCTTCCTCCATTTTTCCATTCCATCAGGATGCTGGGAACACAGGACAGCACCACCAGGCTGGGACTTGAACCCCAGCTGTCTTGTCAGGTCCAGCTTCCTCTGCACAGTGCAGTACTCCTGTGCCTACCGCGTGCTATTTATTTCAATGCTAATTCAGAGCAGATAATAGGATCTGTAGTAGTAGGGTACATGTGCTCACCAAAGAGAGAGACAGAAAGAGAGTGGAAAGTGAGAAAGCAAGCCACCAAGTCCAGTCCACAATGTGGGTGTCCAGCGACTTAACCACCATGCCACCTGCTGGCCCCGGTGCAAACATTTTTTGAATTCAAGTCATCGTTTTCTCACAATATGCATTTTCTAGGAACTTTTTGAAGACCCCCTTGTATTTGAGAGGACTAGACTTGG